GCCACGAGCTCAGTGCCAAAGCCCTGTGCACGGCAACTCCCTGCGCCGGGCCCAGAGCACCGGGGCTGCTGGTGCTGCTGCGGGGTGACCGGGCTGCCTCCCGCGGCCGCGCGCTGCCCTGCGGCTCCTTCCGAGGGCTCCGCGTTGCGCCTCTGCGTTGGGCTCTGCAGGCTGTTTGTCTCAGGTTGTTTTTCTGCTGCGCCTGTTCTGAAGCTGTTCCCGGCAGCTGCGGGAGCTGGGAGCTGCAGCCTGACGTTCAAGTGTTCCTTTGTTTGTCACTGTAGAGATGGAATAAACTTTTTTCACTTGGCCACCGCAGGCCTTTCTTTGCTGGGGAAACAAAGCCGGTTTCCCCGCGGGCCGGGCCGGGCGGTTCCGGGGGGTGCCGGGCCGTGCACGGTGCTAGCAGCCCGGCTCCACAAACAGCCCTCCCGGCGGTGCCTATTTTTAGTGCGCGTTCCCGGCTGCTCCTCGGGACGCTCGCGGGGCCGCCGCGTGACCGGCTCCTGGCACCCGCTGCTGCTGTGGGAACGCTCAGCCCGCCGAGCGGGAGCGAGGCTGTGTGAGAGCCGCCCCATACACAGCACACGCAGGCGGTTTCATTATTTATTAACCTACAACAGTAGCAGGGCTTCCTTTCCCCCGTCCCCAGGGAGGAGTGAGGCCGGGCAGTGAAGCACTGGCGAGCTCTGCAGCTAAAATCTTTTCAAGTAACACAGGGGGAGGCAGGTTTCTTTCAGGCTGCTCTTATAACCCTCTGGACTGGAGCACCCTCCTAGCTGGAGCGCTCGGGTAAACAAAATGCTAGTGATAATGCAATATTTGAGCATGGAGATTTGACCAGAGCAGCCCGAACAGAAACAGGAACTATTTATTGTGTGGAGCCTGTGGACTCTGACCTAAAAGCACTTTTGCAAGGAGTAAGAGACTGTGGAAGTTAAGTGAAACAAAAGGGAATGGTGTGTGAGGCAAGGTAGAGCAGAGGAAGCAGCAGGCAGACGAGTACTTTGAAGGCTCAGGAGGGAGCAGAGACGTGACTATAGCCAAGAACCATCCACTGAAAGCAGAGCCCCTTTTCCAAGGAGCTGGATTTTCGGATTAACGGTAGCCTCGTCTTATGCAGGTCGTCCAGAGCCTCCAAGCTCTTCACAGGTAGCTGAGTGCAGCGAACTGGCAGCACCAAGGGAGACTTGAGCAGGAAAATGTCACCTGGGAGAGGTGACTTCCTGAAGTGCTGCTCTTCCAACAGGAGCCTGTCCTCACGGGCGGAGGCGTTCCTGAGGTCAAGCCTAAGAGTTTAGAACTCAGGCTGCCAGGCGGAGCCTCCCCTTTTCCCCGGTGTTCTAATGAGCACTTGCAGCAGGCGAGGGCACTGACGAGCTGACAGCCCTGCACGATTGCCGAGAGGCTGCTGCAAGGGGGCCCAGGGCACCCATGCACATTTCGGTTGAAAAGTTGTGCCATGGCTATGGGTAAAGGAAAGGGGCACCTGCTCAAACTATGTTTGAGAAGAAGTGGGTTTCAGATATTAAATTACAGTACATCGTCTTAAGGAACCTGGAGATTGGCAACACCACACAGGACATTAAGAAACAGTCCTGGTCACATGCAACTACAGGGACTTCTGCCAGCCAGCAGCCACTCTGAGCACATGCAGCAGTCCAGGAGAAGACGCTACAAGTCCTGCAAACTATTAATGCCCTGCAGCCCGCCCTGGTGTGATGGAGCTTCCCAGTACCTGCTGGGGCAGCTGCATCAGTGGTTGCCCCCGTCTCCTTTCAGTGCTCTGAGGGACTTGCTTTTAGCCAGGCTCCTGTTTCAGCTCCCCCCAGCATGCAGCGAAGCAGCAGTTTGCTTGGCAGGGAGAGCTGAGACACTTGCGCTAAGAGCAGGGGAAGATGGAGCTGAAGTCTGGGAGCTGCAGCCTTCGGTTTTCCCCTCTCCTTTTGTTCCTTTGGGGAGCTCAGCAGTCACGAAGCAAAGATCTTGCGGGCAGCAGCCGCGTCCAGCTGCTTCGGTCCCATGGGCATGTTCTCCTTGTTTTCTGACCCAGGCTGGTGAGGTTTCTTTCGGAAGTAGCAGGCACGGCAGACAGAATGATACTTGTCTGCTCCTCCAATCACTTCAACCTGGCAAGAAAGACAGGCGAGCTGAGCTCTGCAGGGTCACTCTCCAAAGGAGGTCCCTTCCAGGGGGGAGCAGAGCAGCAGGATGAAGCTAGGGAATCTCTTTGTGTTCTGGGGGAACTCACCTCCCGCTCTGCTCCCAGCCTTTTTGTGTAGGAAGCTTCTCGGTAGCACTCCATGCACACAGCGTTTAGCTTCACCACGCTCTCTGCCAGCGGCACCAGGTTCAGGATGTTCCCAAAAGCCTATGCAAGGACAGGGGCACTTTTGTTGGCTGGATTCTAGGAGCTTTTAAATACAGCAGCTAAAGGGGAAGATCCTACCTTTCTCTGGAAGGTCCCATCAAGAGCTGCGACGATGACAGTCTTCCCGGCGTTGGCCATCATCTCGCAGAAGTCCACGATGTCTGGGAACTAGGAGGGGTAGAGAAACATCTTCAGCGGGGACAAGGGAGAACCAGAGCAACGTGTCGTCCCCGGAGGTGGAGCGCCACTGTGCTCAGTTTGCAGGGACTCGGGGAAGGGCTCGACCTCGGGAACAAAGCCCAGCAGGACCAAGCTGCTCCAGAGATATCCAAGGAGGACTCAGACCTCTCTCTGAAGAGATCGCACCCCACAGAGCACCCCGGGACCTGCCCTGTCCCCGCACTTACGAACTGCCCCTCGTCGATGCCGATGACGGCCGAGCTGAGCGCCTCCTGGTAGACGTCCTTGAGGAGGCAGGCGGGGAGCGCCTCCATGGTGCTCCTGTGGGGGACAGGGGCTGAGCGAGGCTGCCGCCCGGCCCGCGCGCCGCTCCCGGGGCCGGGGCACTCGCCTGTCGTGCGTGGAGAGGCCGGCGGTGCCGTAGCGCGTGTCCTTGGCGTACTTCACCAGCAGGCAGCGGTACTGGGCGAGCTGGAAGCGCCGCACGCGCCGCATGAGCTCCGTGCTGCGAGACAGGGCGGTGAGCGGCGCGGGCGCCCCGCGGCCCCGTGCGGACCCCCGGCCTGGGTGTCCTGCCCCCCGTGCAGCCCCCTGGACCTACCTCTTCCCGGAGAACATGGGCCCGAAGATCACCTGCGGGCAGAGCCGGGGGTGAGCGCGGGACAGCGCTGCCCACCGCCCCGGCCAGGCCCGCCCGGCAGCTCTACCCGCGCCGCCCCCGGGCCCACCGCGACCCACCCG